GGACTCAAAGTTTTAAACATGGTAGTTAATGTTCATATCACAGCACAGGACTGCTCAGATCAGAAACCATAAGTTTCTGCTTGCAAGCAAATGATGCAAACCAAAATATTAAACATTCTAAATACTACCCAAAAATATTTTATAGTGTTATGAAGAGGAATTAACTGGTCATGGAAAGTGATTTGCCAGTAAAATTGAGTGTGTTGCCCAAATTCAAGGACAATAAAATTACAGTTCTATGCAAGAAGAGACACTGAAGTCATGACCATCAAGATGAAAATCAAAAAAGTGCTTCAACACTGAATTCTTTCTTAATTATATCTCTATAGGATCTTTTTCAAAAATATATGACCACCAGCTATTTGAAAAATTACATAGTTATAATACTTGCTGCCCTCCCCAAACAATACATCATTTATGGTACAAACATTGCCACACACTTCACAACATTTATCCAAATGAGTGAATGCATCATTTTCTTTTATTCCTGGACTGATTCTGTTGCTACACCTAAAATAGGGTTATCAAAGCTTACAACTCATTTAACACTAGTTAGGAGAGACACTGCTTAATCTTAATATAATTTTAATCAAAAAAGGGATATCAACTGCAGAATCAATTAAAATGATCTGACTGAAGAGTTAAAAAAATATTTTGTAATCTAAGTGTGTGACTGGATAGACTTCATGACTTAGCTCCTGCATTTTGCTATTGTAATGCTACTATCAAGGTCAGTTTGGAGCTTGTCAGGAGCATAACTAAGAATCTTAATCACATATTACAAATATTGAATGGTGTATGTATATCCAAATTGTTAGAATAAAGCTACTATTTGAATTTGATCAGCTTTTAAGAACAAAATATAAAAGGTACAAAATCAGAATGAGTTAATCTAAAAATCACAAACAATGAAGCCTACATTTCCTTTTTTAACATAATTTTCTCTAACCCAAAATTATATCAATCCTTGTTTGCCTCTCCAGGCATCGCAAAAAGATTTTCACTAACAACACACCAGTCTTTTATACCCCTTCATTTTCACACCATTTCAGAACATGTGCTAATCCACCACCAATCATACTGCACCATCTATAATAGCACAACCAGCTTCCTCTAATATTCTAGCACAATCCTCACTTTGGAGAACTGGCAGGTACAAACTACAAACACTGGCATATCAGCGAGGAAGAAGAGTGGGTGGGAGGAGGTAAGTACCTATCGGAAATACATTTTCATCATAAGAACATGCTAACTTCTGAAATGGTACTACGTCCGCTCATCCAAAGGTAGCATCCCAGATTGCAAAGGTTGAAGGGGCCAGTGAAGGTGCAACAGTATTCAATCAAGCGGAGAGAAACTGCCTTGAAAGAACAGGTGTGCCGTAAGAAGAAAAGAAAGCAGATCTGTGTGGTATAGCACTACTTCTGGAGCAGGTATGCTCTTCGCCCAGTAACGAACATAATAATGCATATAGGGCAGAACGTAATAGGTAGGCACCATCAAGAAAGAGATGTACAGCACCATTCTGTGAAGAAGTGCTTTATAATTATGACGTGAAACAGCAGTGTGTGGACAAAAATGGAATGTCTAGCATGTAATCAACAAATAATTTTGTGCCAAGTACAGAGTCTTGGGGCACACCTGAGCATGTCAACTGCTGTCTAACAGGGAAAAACATCCAATGGAAATGCCTTGTCTAGGATATTGTGAGCAACAAGAGCAATCGTCCCCATAAAAAAATAAATAAAAAGTCCAGAGGGAGCACCTTGAATAAGTAGTTTGATGAAAAATTGTCAGGTAATTCAGAATCAGCCCATTATCAACAGATAGTGAATCCACATATGTAGCAAGTGTTAGCATAGGACACAGTGACAGTTAGTCATAGCAAGGTGCCTGATAATGTGATATAAGTATATGTAGCTAGGGCTAAAGTATTGTACATTGTGTATGAAAAGGCCAAGTTCAGTCCACTCTGGCAAAAACATCCAGGGAAAGTGCTTTGGTATACATTAGAGTATGCCAAGTGTGATCCATCTGAACAAAAACATCCAGTAGAAGTGTCTTGCATAAGATACAGAGATGAACAAGTGCAATCTGCCCAGACGAAAAACATTTGTGTGAAGCGCCTTGGATATATAATATTATGGCAAAATGTGGTCGGCCCAGGAAAAAACATCCAGGGGAAGCACCATGGGATATGTCGAATTATGCCAAATGCAGTCCACCTGAGCAGAAACACCTTGCATAAGATACAGAAATCAACAAGTGAAGTCTGCCTGGGCAAAACCCAAGGGGAAGTACCTTGGATACATAGGATTAAGCCAAGTGTGGTCTGCCTGGGCAAAAACATCCAGGAAAAGTGCCTTGGGATACTACTGAGTCTGTCAATTGCAGTCCATCAAGGTAGAAAACTATCAATGGAAGCACCTTCCATAAAAAATTTATTTTGTGATCAACAAGTTCGGTCACCCCAGGTAAAACCATCCAGGGGAAGCACCTTGCATCCAGAATATTATGTTACTACATAATCAATAAGTATAATGACAAAAGCCCTCTTCTCACTGAGTGGGTACATATGAGCAATGAAGTTTGATTAACTTTATTGTACAAACCACATTCCATGGTCCACCAATCCAATAACTGGGAACTGGAAGTAGCAAGAACTCCTGTGATCCCCTAGAAGAAAAGGGGGGTATACACACTGGGGAGTCAGGAGGAATGCACACTAGAGAAAGTACAATGGATGTCTGCAATTCCCTATTTTGAAAAACAGAAAGACCCCTATTACAAGAATCACGGGTCATAAGGAATCTCCATCTGGTGTACTCATGAAGTCCATGAGTGATGTTCCCTTTTATAAAAAACAGTGATAGAAATATATATTATACACACACCACCAGATAAGTGGCCAATGGTCTTACAGAAACATCCCATCCACCCCCAGATCTGAGGAGTGAGAAACTGGAGACCAAAAACAAGGAAGTTTTATAACATCCACCCCTATTTATGCTAGTCCCTCATATATTTTACAACATTCACCTCTATTTATGCTAGTCCCTCATAGATTTTTATAACATCCACCTCTATTTATGCTAGTCCCTCATATATTTAATAAAATCTTGGTACACATTTGTATTTTATAGCACTCATTCAGTTTTGAAAATTAACATTGAGAAGCAAAACTCTGAGGAAAAAAATGTTAAAGGGAAGTCATGTTTAACAACTTTTTTTCCTACTGGTAAGTCAAGTTACAGTACAGATTGTTACTATGAATCACTTACAAATCAACAGTAAAAACAAGAGAGATTCTCCCTACAGCTACAGCTGTAATTAGATATCAAATTGGTCAAAAGATGAACTATGAGCTAAAACATTTGTACATGAAAACAACTCAGAGCCATTCTATGAGCCGCTATGCTAACAAGAGGGATCCTAAATATCTGCAGTACTTCAAATTCTTTTAGGCAGGGTTAGAGTAAATTAATCCACGAGACCTTGGGCGTGGTTAGTTATTGAAAGGGTTTGACCTTCTGAGTCCAAAACTGTAATTAGATCTCAAATCGGTCAAGAGATGACGGACCTATGATCTAAAGGTTTGTACTTAAAAACAAAGAAACTTTGAACCATTCTATGAGCTGCTATGCCGTGGCTAATAAATGTATTAAATTTCACTACCCAAAGAAAATCAAGTGACACATATAAAACAAACTTATATAAGACATATATACATACATCAGTATAATAATACTTACACAGTAACCAGTAAACACCACATTCATACCTACAAATCAAAAGTTTAAAACAAGCAAAAACATACCTATGAAAAACATGAAGATCATACATACACAGTCAATTTTTACTTTTAGCACACTGTGTGTTTCAATTATAAACGCCAGTTGTATTATAGTATTAACTTAGGTCTCTTTAAGAAATGCTAGACATATGGAACACATGACTGAGTGGGCAGTTTTAATATAAAAAAAACACACATTAATGGGCATTTACACCTTAATTTACAATTAATGACATTTACTTTTTCTATATACACACAATAAGACTGAACTATGTACTATATCTATTGGTTGTATGTTACACCAGTGATATAAGTACACCTCCACAATCATCATAATTATGGGGGTGCCAAGTCATAAGGAGGCCCAAATCAGCCAGAATCATAACTACAATTATAGTGAAATAAATGTAGGAGGTCCATCTTTTGTAGTGATGCCACTGTGTTACACCTTAATTTGTGGTTGGTAATGTTTTCATCTGTTCATTCTATATAACATCAGTTAAATATGAACTACTTGTAACAATTCTTTCTGCATTTTCAAAATAAAGAAAAAATAAATATTTTCTTTTTACTACTAGCAAAGCTAATTCTCCATAATGATGTTAAACATTTGCACTTACCTCCTCATCTACGGGCTTCAGATAAGGTTCAAATCCACATACATTTTCATCTACCATTCTTAATGCTTTCTGAAAAGCCTCTTCAAAAGTTCGACCAATTCCCATTGCTTCTCCAACACTCTTCATGGAGCTGCCAATCTGTTAATTCATTAAAAAAAGGTATAAGGTTGGAATCATGTCATAGACTAATCTAAATGCAAGGATTTCTGTTTTTATTATTTCTTATGTTATGAGTCTTGTGTAGGAACTGTATTGCTCATCAGCATACTGTAGTTAACATCAGTCCTACATTGTATATTTCCATAAAATTACTCCACAGTTGATATTTTGAATTGCTTGAGTGATTTCCAAAGCTCTATTCAAGTTCACTACAAAACAGAACTAGTTTCTCTAGTTTAATTCATGAGATTCTGCTGCCAATTATTTGGTGATGATTGATGGTTTACTGAACAAGAGATAGTTTAATGGATGAGTAATGGTTTAACCCTTTCGCTAGGCCTCGGTCCCAGGGACCAATCTTGTAACCATTTTGTGCTTGTTGGTTTTTGTACTGTAACTTTTTAATACAGTATGCATACCTTCATGAAATATGGCAGATTATCATTAAAAATAACAAGGCTTTCTTACACAAAATATAAATTTTTTTATTTAAGTTTTAAGATTTTTTAATTAAAGATTTGCTTGTGCATTTTTTCTTTTTCGAATGTTAACTATCCCACATACAAAGTAATTCTGATTTTAAGATTAAAACTACCTTTATGCATCAGAAAACTGTCAAATTTCATTTGTTAAATCTCTGTAATCTTCTAATAAAATCTAGATAAATATCAAACACTATTTTCTCTATCTTATCGCTGTACAGGTTTAGTTGAATTTATTGAGCTTGTAACCACCATAAAAATTTGGAAATAAGATTTAAGTTACATTTTGGTTCATTCTAGAATGGCTACAAATGGTAACATTAAACCACAAATGTTTATTCCAAATAGCTTAAATCTCATAACATTATACATCTATTCATATTTATTATTTTTATTTTATCAACCTTTAAGCTACATTTGACTAACATTACAGAAGTTGCAATCATGGCACACATGCTTCTCATGTTACCATATCCATTAACATAATACTGGTGTTTACAAAATGATCTGTCTTTACTTTGTTCTAGTGGACCAGCATTTTGTAAAATACATTCACATTTTGGTTATAATACATTACACATGTATACATATTATTACTATTAACAAATAAATTCTTACATTTCAGTTTTCTTAAGACATAAAACAGTAAATAAAGAAATATAGAAAACAACAATCTCTACTAGTTAAGATTGTAAAGAAGTTTGTGCTTGCTTGCTGTACCTTGCATGCCTTATCAAATTACGTACGTGGAGGATGTAAAACAAAATAACTTTTTTAAGTTTTACAGAAACATTTTGAAAAAAAAAACTATAAACTACTCTACCAATATCACACAATTCAATTGTAATTTATCAGGCTTACAAACTAAGCTTTATTTAGGTCTAAAAGGATATTGTTTTTCAAACATCATTTTCTCTTATCCCTTCCTTCCAAGATTGGGAAAAGATTAATCTTGAGAAATAGAAAACTTGAATTGGTTGAGAAAACCACGTAGAGAAAATTCTGAGCTTTTGATTGGTTATAAACACATGACAGAGTGAAGCGAATGTATGTTAGCAAGTATTTCCAAAAAATGGAAGAGGGGAGGCAGGGCCACTGTGTTTGATTTACTAGACATAGTCGTATCTCAGTACATAGAAAAGATAGGTTCTTATTTTATATTCTAGCTTGTAAGTATCAGTAATTTGAGTTTTTAATTTGTAATAAACTATAGACTTTGTATTTCAATATCACAAACATCTAATTTGAAATAAAGCTGCATTCAACATACCACGTGACACACTAAAATCTATGTTTGGAAATTTTGTTTTAATATATACTTTCAAATTAAAAAATTAACTTTAGATTAATTTAGAAATTAACTAATGTACAATACTAAAATTTGAATTATAATCTGCAATATGATACCAAACTTATTAACATACATTCATAAAATAGTAGTTCAATAAAATTTTGAATGCAAGTCTACAAACATGATGACATGGCCCTTGACCACTGACTATACGAAAACCCATAGCAATAGGGTTAGTGGACAAGTGTCGGTTTAAGGACATGATGGTTTAGTGAATGAGTGTTGGTTTAAGAACGAGTGATGGTTTAGTGAACAACTGATGATTTAATGGAGGTGTGATGGTTTAATGAACGAGTAATGATCTAATGGAGGAGTGATGATTTAATGGACAAATGTCGGTTTAATGGATAAATGATGATCTAATGGAGGAATGATGATTTCATGGACAAATGTCGGTTTAATGGATAAATGATGATCTAATGGAGGAATGATGATTTAATGGACAAATGTTGGTTTAATGGATAAGTGATGATCTAATGGAGGGATGATGATTTCATGAACAAATGTTGGTTTAATGGATAATTGATGATCTAATGGAGGGGTGATGATTTCATGGACAAATGTTGGTTTAATGGATAACTGATGATCTAATGGAGTGGTGATGCTTTAATGGACGAGTGATGGTCGAAGGAAAGATGATGGTTTAATGAACATTGGTAGTTTAAGGGACAAATGATGGTTGAATGGACCAGTGTTGGTTTAATGGGTGAGTGTGACGAGATCTAAAGAGATTGAAAGAAAAATCTAGTTTCATTCAAATTAAAACCTGAATCCAAAACAACTTTCATTATTAGTGTTAAGAGACAGTATAATCCTCTATAGTTGTGCTAATAAAAAATGGTCACAGTAGAAGGGTGTGATGACCAGAATGACTAAGAAAATTCAACAAATTTCTTTGAGTGCAGCAAAATATTTACATTATAGAATTAGAAAAACTTAACACACAAGTTAACATGAAAATAAGCCTCAGCTGACAAGATATAACGGGTGTTACAACAATAGGAAAATCTGAAAATTCAAAACTGAAGAAGTGATAGGTAGAGAACACCTAGCATCAGCATCATGCAAAACTTACCAGTAGGAAAACAGAAGTAGCAAGAGAAAATAATTGTAATAAAAAATTTTACTCAGCCAGTTTCACATGCAAGTAGGTTGACTTGGTATTGTGTGCATAAAATAACATACTGAGTGAATATGTTCATGAATTCTATGAAAATTAAGGTGTAGATGGTCTTTAACCAATAGAGCTGTTACACAAAAGTTAGCATTTTCCTACATTGAAAATATATTTCTGATAGATACTTACCTCCACTCAGAAAATAGCTTTTCTCGACTAGAACTACTCTCTATTGGTTGTAAATTTTCAACACACACCAATATAACCTTCCACCTCCTGTTTCTGCATATTCACATGCAAATGATCATGCAGCAGCTCTCCACCAATAGGAGTGCGATACCAGAAAAAATGGCTTTGAGTATTTTATTCATATCTGGGTAAACCTACTAAAAAACTCCTGTGCAGGTCACAGGACTATTTTTATGTTGATTCTTGAAAGTGGAGAGATTTTATCAGTTTCCACTGCTACTGACCAAGTTTCTCTTTAAAAAGTTGGTTATTTTTCATTTGAAAGTTGATTTACATGGCTATAAATACATAATATATGCGATGTTGTTGTTGTGAGCAGCTTCCATTGTACTTGACGCTTCTTAAACGCGTTTTTACACAAAACCTCAGGCACAAAATTACCTGGTTAAGTAATTAATGGTTGGGTGGAAAAAAGCCAATGCAGCAATAAACCGTTGAAAAACATGTAACATTCAACTGAATGCATATGCATGTATGTAGCTTATAATTTATTCAACATAAATAGGCATAAAAAAACTTAAAAAGCAAGATAATTAAAAATTGTTAATCTAAAAAAAAGGAATAGGGATCATCAAATAAGTACAGAAACAATTTGAATCCAAATGGGAAGATTATATTTTCAAGCCTACAACTAGTAACTCTACAGAATAGTAAACAAACTAGGCTGGAAATAGTGTCTACGTTATTTTCTCAAGCTACAAATCCCTCTTTTGACTCCGCTAATATTGACAAGTACTATAGAAAGTATTATGTAATAAAAATGTCTTTACCAGACAAGGTATTTTTATTCTCTTAAAACACTTACAGGTGTTACTTACTGTGTTAGCTTTTGACTTACTGGAAAAATGAAAGATTTAAACTGTTTTTGTTACTTTATTTTATTTTTTTCAGTTTAACATTGCATCTCATATACAGTAAAACATTAACTTTTTAGAAGGATAAGGAAGCAATAAATCATAACTAGTTTAATATATACGAACTATGAGCGAAAAAAAGACAAACAGTTCTGGTTTCAAAGTCACTAACAAGGTGGAATGATAATCGAGTAAAGAAGCACATTATGCTAATATAACAGGTAGTCAAACAATGATTTATAAGCATAAGGAAAAGTTTTATTAATCAGGCTTGACCTCTACTGATATCCTTGTTGCCTGCTGACACAACTTCCATCACATTCAATTTTTAATGTCTTTGTAACAATATATAAACCTTGCACTGCACCTGAAGAAGACAGACCAATGTTCTGTTGAAACGTGTAGTATGTTCTAACAGAAATAAAACTTTTCCTTAAAAGTTTTGATGGACCAAGTTGGTGGTAGGTACCAGATAATATAAGGTTAAAGATTTGCTGTTATATAGAAGTACTCTTTTCTCAGTTATTTAATTTCAAAGCATTTAACATATGATCTTTTTTTTACCAACTTATCAGATTTCTTGAAAGTGTAACTCTGAACCAAGCATGAAATCTCTCCATAATTAGACCTGAAGCTCTTGCTAGTTTTACATGCGGTTCTTTCTTGAACCTTTGTAAGAGTTTCTTTAAACAATTTTACTAGTATTAGGAAAAACTGAGTAGTAGTTAAATTTTAATGTTTAATACTTCACACACTATTCTATATATTATCACAACATAGTTTAAGTCAAAGAAACTGTTTTACAACCATAGATTGTAACATATTAACAAAAAACGACACATCTTCAGAAACTGTTTGTAATGAGCTTAAAATTAATTTTCCAGAAACATTTTTTTAAAACTCTTCAACTGCTCTGTAAAAGCACAAGTCTTCAAATAAATCTTCCAAACACAAATCATAATTAATTTGTCCCTACAATATTTAAACAAATTAAAAGACACACACACATATATTTATGATTCATTCATTTATACATGTATTTATATATGAACTAAAGAAATTCCATATTACATTACCTTATTGCTTACTCTTGCAAATTTTCCCAAGTCCCAACGTGGAATTTTTACTACACAATAATCCAAACTTGGTTCAAAGCAAGCTGTTGTTGTCATCGTCACACTATTGTGTAAGTCTAGCAAGGACATACCCAAGGCTAGCTTGGCTGCAATGTAGGCTAATGGATATCCTGTGGCTTTACTGGCCAAAGCAGAGCTACGTGACAGTCTAGCATTTACTTCCACAATGTAATACTAAATGAGCCAAATTAGGTTGGCACAAGAAAAAAAATAGAGGAACATTAAGTCATGCACACTATTTAAAAATAAAAAAAATTTACAGTAAAGTTAAGTTAAAGCTTTTCTTTTCAAAAGTAGACAAACAATATGTTTTTTTTTTTATTGACAGTATCTGCCAAGTTTTTACACTGGATGACGTTTTAATAAACACAGTAACTTCAATAATTGTACACAAAGAAGAACTAAAACATTTTATAGGATATTCAGTAGTTAAAAAAAATTCAAACTTGAAATAATATTGCTTTGTCTAACTAATAATTGCACCACACAAGTTGTAAATCACTTGGTGAGCATGCAGCTCACATTACCGTATTGAATTACATAATGCACAAGCTGCTCTCAAGCATATCTTGTGCAGGATTTTTATTTTATTTTTTCAATATCTTATCTTACCTAACCTAATAAGTCAAATTTTTACATTTTAGTTACTTTTATAATAATAAACAAATATTATACATGAAAAACAAGAAATAAAGTATGTACCTGGATCTTCTTTACTGTTTTTTTTAGCTGTTGACTGTCAACTTAAGTCGATATTTTTATACTAACAGTACTGCTACACTAAAAAATATTTTATTTAATTAAATACTGCACCTAAGAACATAAAATAATAACATGGAAAAACCAGACAATGTCCTATAACTAACGTAATTTTTCTGGCTTTGTAACTGTGCATTAAGATGCCTTTAAAAATTCAGCTTAGCTCATCAATGTGATTCCCGTGAAAATAAATTTGAAACTGAATGACGAAACAGAAAATGCCCAGTACAGAAAACAACATAATATAACATGTTATTTGACAGAGTAAAATTTTGCTTTCTTTTGGTTATAAATAATATAGTATAAAACATCAGAGGGAACTATTGGCAGTTTGTGAAAGAGATGATGTGACAGGTGGGCATGGCAAGAGGGTCTGATTTTCTAGTTTATGGCTCTGTAAACAAATTTGATTGAAGGCTAGAAAAATTATGTTTTGCCTGAGTAATATCTATATTATAATAAGTAATTTACATTAAAAACCATACTTCTTGGAATGGTAGCAAGTAACTTAAAGAGGGAAGACCTAGAGAAAAAATGTAACAATTCTCATACCAGAGGAGATTGAGGATTTTTTAAAATATTTCTTTACAAAATTAAAAACATAAATGTTATAATTTTAGTATACTGAAAATTTATTTCCTATAGGTACTTACCTCCCTCACATAAATAGCTATTCTCGTTCAGTGCTGCCCTATATATACAAAAACTGTTTTTTCGCATGCCACAAGCCTTTAATCTCCCACTCAACTGGAATTGACTGATTCCAATGCACCTCTCATACAAATAATCATGCAACAACCCTCCACCAATAAGAATGCAACATACTCTCTTGATGCATATGACTCCCTCTATTCAATTCTACCGAACTATCACTTCGAGTATTGGCAGAAAATGAAAGCACCAGTTTCAGTGGGGAGGAAGGGTGAGAGGAGGTAAATACCTATCGGAAATACATTTTCAGTATAGAAAATTATAACTTCCGATACAGTACATTGCTCCACTCACATAAATAGCTAAAATCCCACATTGAAAAGGTGAAGGGAAAGAAAGAAGCATCTTTTGAAGGTGTCCAAGAGGAGATCTTCAAAATTGAAGACCTGATGTGGGAGACCACACAATTTCTGAACCAGATATACCCTTCGCCCATCCTGGAAAGATGTCACATATAAGGGCCAAAAAATGGAGGAGCACATCCAAGTGTGAGAGAACTATAGCAGGATAGGGAGCTGAACCATACAACATTTATGAAACTCAATCCCAGAAAATATAAAAGTGGGTATGAATAAAAGGATGTGCCCGTAAGTGTAAAGTGGCTCAGGTGCCATGGACTGTACACAGCAAGTGAACTACATCCAAAACCAAGCCACCAGGAACTGACATCCACGTGGGGGGTAAGAAAGAGGATCAAACAATCCAAAACCCAGGTCACTGGGAACCGACATCCATGTGGTGGTAGGAAAGAGGATCATACCAGTGGCAAGTGAACTAGAATCAAAAACTCAGCTGTCTGGTGTGGGTAGAAAAGAGGATCATACCATCTTTGCCTCAAGTTCATGAGACCGGAGGGAATCTATTGCCCCCTGATCCATGAATGGGGCACATGAAAATATGAAATATTGATTGATTATCCGGGAACCCAACATCCAGCATTGAAAAGATGTCTGCTTAATGTAAACCATCTCCCTCAAATTTCAAATTAACTGGAACCCACCCCAAGCGTAGTAATATCCTTGAAATAATGAGCTTCAAGGGATAATGGAAGGGGAAGAACCATAATAATCTGCTAAGACCTCCAAAAATGATGGCATAACAAGAGTATAAAATGAGGGAGGTAATATAGACATCTGTAATACATATGTGAGGACTTGTGTTGATTGGTTCAATTCTAAATCCAAAACACAGTCATTGGGAAGTGACTTCCATGGGGGTAGGATGAGGAACCCCAATCGAAAGTTGAACTGAAATTTTGATGGCTCACTCCAGTTTTTGTTTCAAAGTGGAGAATACCACATCACCTACAACAGCAGAACACCCCCACCCTATTCTTAACTGAATGGTTTTATAATCATTTCAATATTTTGTTAGCATTTCATTAACCCATGCAGGAGGATGCCTCCATGGTGCACCACCCCAGCAGCTTGGAACTCAAGAGTGGTAAGGACTCTTAGACTCCACTAGAAGAAAGGGGGGGACAAGGTAGAGTCCAGAAGAATGACAAAACCTGAGACAGTGCAATGGGTGACCATGGAAACCTATTTTGAAATGCATACTGATTTATTATTTCAATACAAGGTATAGCAGGGATGGGCAGCTATCCCCTTTTGTTTACCCATGTAATCCATTGGTGAGTACAGTCTGGGACAGGCAAACTTATGAAGCAAATCTATCAGAAGGATAAGCCTACAAGTGATCTTGTGGAACACCCCATCTCCGCAGCATGCATTGGATGGAATGATAATATGTTAGTCAACATGGCTTACAGTACAGACTTGAATGGTTAAAGAATACCTGGCCAGGCACCACTTGCCACAGAACTGGGTCCAGAAATAAAATGTGGGACATGCCTCTGAAAAAGAAGAGGTACACATACTAAAAGGTAACTTACCCAGTCACAGTCTCATGAAAGAGTGAAGGATGGCAACAGATGGATGACAGTACCCCGACAAGAAAGAAAGAGCTACCCAAAGCAGAGAATGGGAGATTAACATATGAGAGGTACACCCAGTGCTTGACATATGAAGTATCTCCAACAGATAGCAGGTAGACATGAGGGGAAAAGGGAAGGTGCATGATCAGAGTGAAGACACCAGGAAGTTATGATGGGAAGAAGGAGACAAGGAATAAATAGCAAATCAAATCACAATCCAAACCCAAAGGGTAAAGTAGGAAGAGGAAAAAAAATCATAGACAAATGTGGAGTAAGAAGAGGAAAAGTGGGAAATGGGTTGAATGGAAAGAAGCATTGAAAACAATGTAGCAACCAACAACATGTACTGGACAGAGAAGGTCATCTGGATCTATCTGACAAGAAATGTGGAAGATGGTAAGAAATAAACCACATGAGCCACTAAAAAGTAGGTTCATAAAAGTGATCCACAGCAAAAGAAACAAATCAAGCCAAAACAGCCAAGAAACCAAAGCAGTGCGAGCCAACATAGATCACCCAGAAAGACCTGAATAAGAGTGACATAGATGCACAAAATGTTGGGGAAGAAGACTGATGGAATGAGGAAAAACTAATAAAAACCTGTCTAAACTTAACAACAACCTAAGTAAGTGGATGATGAAGCAGAGACCAAAAACAAGAGAGGTAACTAACTGGGAAGTAATAAAACATTCCAACAGGAAGAGGAGCCACCAATAATTAGAAAGATTGAGAGAAAGTGGGAGAAAGTGTTAGTACTGTAAAATCAATTAGCAATGAGGACAAAAGCACCTGGAACACCACCGTCCAGGAGATGTATGTCAAGTGTGTGAGTTAAAAAAAAAGGAAATCCATTGTTTACCTCAAAGGGAACAAGAAGGAGTGGCCCCTTGGCTAGTGATATAAGCCACCACCATCAAAAAGACAAAATGAAACAGGATCAGTCAAACCAGACAAGAAGAAGAGCATGAACTAAAGCACCTTGGACTGGCAAAAGTGTCTGGGTGTGAAGGGGATAAGACCTTTTGACTGGAGAGCATTATCCTGAAATCTCCTACTGATAGAACCACACCCCACACCAAAACCCATAATAGTAAAATATCTTATCTTTCCAAAGGTGGTGGACTATATTTCAAATGTTTGGGCCCCCAAACTCGATCAGTCAATTCCAATTGAGTGGGTGATTAAAGGCTGTGGCACTGCATATAGAGGGCAGCACTAAATGAAAATAGCTATTTATGTGAACGAAGTTAATCTACCATATCGGAACTTATAATATTAAAATTTGATTTGTTAACAACATTTTGATACCAAGTTTATAACTTGTCTTCTCAAAGGGTGTTCTAAAGTAATTGAAACCACCTGTGTGGACTTTAATGTAAAAAAGACAATTATTTAAAGCTCTGAATACAACTGTGATAACCAATAGTGTAACGAATATTTGTTTTCAATATGTTATTTTAAAACAAGTGGATTGTGTGCTGTTCGTTTATTGTTGAAATTTACCGCCAACAAGTCAAAGACACATACTATAAAGAATCTGGCCCATACATACCTATAAAACCTGACACCTTGCAATATAATAGACAATTTATCACAATGAATAATTCATTAAGTCTCCTTTTGAAAGTTCAAAAATTTGTTTAATGAAATAAGTGGTTTTGGTTTGTTATATACAAAAGAAACAACACCTTCTTTCATGTTACATGTCAATTACAACATCTACACAATAGTCCAACTGTACTTCTACAACACCTTCTTTCATGTTACGTGTCAATTACAACATCTACACAATAGTCCAACTGTACTTCTACAACACCTTCTTTCATGTTACGTGTTAATTACAACATCTACACAATAGTCCAACTGTACTTCTACAACACCTTCTTTCATGTTACGTGTCAATTACAACATCTACACAATAGTCCAACTGTACTTCTACAACACCTTCTTTCATGTTACGTGTCAATTACAACATCTACACAATAGTCCAACTGTACTTCTTACTGTTTAAAAAATTAACAAATTTCAATCAAATACACTGAAACTTAACAACAAAAGTTCTAAGTTCTTCTTAACTTCAATCCATTAGCTATATGAAACTTCCCCTTTAGAATTTTACTTCTTTCTTGTTAAACATAAAGCTGCACAATGAGCTATCTTTACTGAGTCCAAAATATGGGTGAAACCCATAAACTGTGTGTAATAACCCCCTTGAGCTTACATTGAGACACAGAAAATTATTCTAAAACTAAACAGTTGAAATTGAAATATGTGTACCAATTACTGAAAAAACAATTACTTACTTCCTGAGACTTTGGATTCAATGCATATTGTACATTACATTCACCTACAACTCCAAGATGCCTGATAAGACGAACAGCAGTTGTTCTAAGTTTGTTGTATTCTCTGTTTGTTAGGGTCTGGCTAGGTGCTACAACAATGGATTCTCCTGTGTGGATGCCTAATGGGTCCACATTCTCCATATTACAAACCTATATATTTAGGTTAGAAAAAAAAGTCTTATGAATGATATTTTTCTAATACAAGCTTCAAAGTAGTATTTTTCTGCTTTTGTACATTTTTAACTGATATTTCTGTGTTTAAAATCACAAAGTATGTTTGAAGTGAATCAAGTTACCTACCCTAATATATATAATGACTGTTTCCTTACACTTGACATCAGTCACTTAACTTGATATTGTTTATATCTAAATATACATATGTGTGTGTAGTATATGATTATACTATATGCTTCTATCTTTTCTGTAGTATAATAATGTTTATTCTATGTAAATTACTATTAAATACATTTCTATATTAATGATAATTTAACCACAATTAAAACACATAGAAATTGTTTATTCTGAATTGATTCTTTGTTCTGAAAATGTGGATATTTCATTTAACACATGGTCAAGAAAACTGTTACGTCAATCTTGCTTCAAGTTACCTTTATTTCTTTGTTCTCAAACGTAAATAATACCTGTTATCACCCAGGGAAAACATTATTTAATATGACATGTTGTGTAAGGATGTCAACAGCAGTATCTTCAGTAGTTGTTCAAATGATATCATAGAGGTTATAGTCCACCTATGTTGTACAGAGAATGACCAGTCACATTGGCAGCACATAGTGCTCTGGGTAAATGCAAAGTTTCATGAGAACTAACAGAAGTTAACATTTACAATATATCAACTATCTCATTTCCAAAACAGTACTACCTCCTATCCCATATTGCTAGCTCAACCTTCATTTGCCTTCTGAGCATTGGTAAATTTTCTGAACAGTGCACAAGTCTTTTATACCTTATATTTTTTGCATGATTACAGCAATATGTGCTGATCATGTGACCACCCTCCACCAATCTCATTGTGCCCTCTATATTAGCACAGGCAGCTCCCTCTACCATTGCGAAACAATCCTCACTTTCAAGAATGGGCATATACAAACCCAAAACAAGGCCAAATCAGTGGGAAGGAAGGGTGAGAAGTGGGTGAGGAGAAATAAGTACCTATTGGAAATACGTTTCCAGTGTTAGAAAATGTTAACTTCTGAAACGGTACTGTATTCGCTCCCCCATAGCTAGAATCCCACATTGAAAAAGTAGTAGGGCCAGTGAAGGTGCAAAACCAAATAATCCAGTGGAGATTGACTGCTGTGAAAAAAACAGGTGTGTCTAAAATAAAATGTGAGGCACACCTATGGGGTATAGCACTACTTCTGAAACAGTAATGCTCTTCACCCAGTAAAAAAAGTGAAGATGACACAAAGGGAAGAAATAAATAACATATGTGAATAGGGCTAGAGGACCGTATATGAATAGGTCTAAGTGCAGTCTACTCGGGAAAAAAACATCCAGAGGAAGCACCTAGGGATATGGCATATTATGGTCCAAGGACAAAAAACAACATGGAAGCACCTTACATAAGTTTGTATGATCAACAAGTGCGGTCCATCTGGGCAAAAAACATCCAGGTGAAGAGCCTCGGATTGATATCAATATAGCAAAGTGTGGTCAAACCATGGGCAAAACATCCTGGGGAAGCACTTTGGTATATGTTAGAGTATGTCAAGTGCAGTCCAACTGGGCAGAAAACATCCAGGGGAAGCACCTAGGGATATGATGTATTATGCCAAGTGCAGTCCAAGGACAAAAACAACATGGAAGCACCTTGCATAAGTTTGTAAAATCAACAAGTGTGGTCTGAGGAATGACACAGTGGAGGCAGTGCAATGGGCTTCTGTATTTCCCTATTTTGAAAAGCAGAAAGACCCAAATTATAAGAATCTCGAGTCAGTATGAATGGGCAATACTCCCTATCTGCTTTACTCAGGTAAACCATGAGTGTTGGTCCTCAGGAGATAGTGATAAAATAGATGATATAGATATAGAAACATCACCGGAACAGTGTTAGGTGGTCTTACAGAAACACCCCATCTCAACAGTAAGCATTAGAAATGATGCAGTGTTAGTGCTAGTATAAAAAGATTCAGCATACCAAACCAGAGAGCACCTGCCACCAGGTGGGATCCAGAAATGCAAAGGAAAACAACTGTAAAGAAAAGGCAAAATAATAGCACAAGTGAAACAAAATGTCAACTGACCCCAGTCAAAGGCGAATATAGATGCGAAGAATCGCCATAGGTGGGAGACGATAACCAACAGAGGAGGATACAGCAATATCTTGCAAATAATGTGCAATGAACATATTTGGAGTTGTCCACATTCCCGCTTATATAATCTCCTCCAAAGGACAGCAGATCCAATTCATCCGACCAGCTAAAGACATGGTGTGTCTGGTGCAATGACACAATAAACAGCCAACCGTCTTCCACCAACATGTCAGAATAAGCTAGACAGATGAGTTGTTGAACCCAGGCAATAAAAACAAGAGAAAGATCATGGGAAACAGAGGGATTCCAATGTGGAAGAATGGCAAGAATGTGTACCACAAAAGGATTCAGTTTGAGTCATATAACAATGAATGAAATAGGCAGGGCAAAGCTGACAATCGGGATTGGAAATGGAAGGCAGGAAAATAGGAGAGAAGGAAAAACAACCTTCATGAATAGCAAATGTCTTGGGAAGGAAGTAATGATTGGGATAAAGGAGAACATAAGAAGCATGGTAAAGGGCACGGCCAACATTAATAATAGCATAAATATCAGAAAAACTACAACCACTAGCAAGGAGGAGAAGAAAATAGGTCTAAAGGGAAAGATGGTACAAAGAACACACAGCAATATGTTCAAAAGGAGAACGAGCAAGAGCATGAAGAACGACATTGAGATCCCAATTCAGAAGCACAAATGGACAGGCCAAACAAAAAATATGAAAGGAATGGAAAAGAAGTGAAATAACAGGGGAGGAGAAGGATCTATGAAAATGGGAAAAGCAAAAGGTGTGGAACAGAACAGCATGATAGCTAGAAACAGTGGACACAGACAAACCTTGATCAAATTACCATGTAAAGAGCCTGACAAGTAAGAACAAAAGTAGGGGAAGGACTGAATCCCTGATGAATGGACCACTGGCAAAGATAGACCAATGACCCAAAAGAGAGAGAACCCCACTAGCAGTAAGAGTAGGTGAAGTCAAAGCAAGAGTAACTGCTTGTTCCATATCCAAGAACCAAAGTGGAGAAGACTGGGCCTGACTGAGATGGGAATTGAAGAGGGCCCCCAAATGAACAAGGTATTGTGTGGAAGTGAGAAAGGACTTTTCCACCTTGATTACAAACCACACCCAAGCAGACTCCCAAAGAAGGAAGCAGATTGAGCTTGGGAAGAGGTGAGCAAGAAACAGTCATCCAGATAATTGTGAGTCCAAAGACCCAATGAATGAAGATGACCTGCAAAAGCATAGAAAACATGACAGAACACATAAGGACAGGAGGCATAGAACTGGAAAACATCCTCCCAGTGGACAAACAGAAGATAACAACATTACTCCTGACCAATGAAGATATGAAAGTAAGCATCTGTCAAGTCCAAATTTGGTTATCCAACGTCCCAGAGGATAAACCCAACAAAGAGAGAGTGGTAGGATGAATCCATGGTGAATCATGGTGTGTCCAGAAAGGCATTTAGCTGGGACAGATCGATAATAGGTCTTCAATATCCCATCTTTTTGGGGACAATAACCAGATGGGAGCAAAAACCCAGACAAACAGGCAACACACGTTCTACAGCTCCCTTGTGAAGAAAATTGAGCAATGACTCCGCTAATCGACTGGACGAAGCATGATTCCAAAGAGGAGGAAAGAAACTAGGAAAGAGGTTAGAGGAGGAGGGGACCGGAATTGAATGCATAGACCCTCTGACAGAACCTGTAACACCCATGGATCTGTCGTGAAGGGTTGCCAGATGGTGGGAAAGAGTTGTAACCTGGCCCCTACCTGCCCGTGGACATCCCATCACCAATAAAGCTGAACCTCAGAGGAACAAGAAGAATGGCCGTAAGGAAGGGAACATTGGAAGCATGGTAAAGGGCAGGGAAAAGAACAAGGTGCATGTGGCACTCAAACTGGCAAAGTTTGAGCAGAATCAGCAGGGCAAAACAAACAAAAAGCAATGGAGGACAATAAATAATGCAATCTCTCCACATTGACCCTGGACTCCAAAGACACAGGAAGACCCGCAAAAACCATTTTGTGCAGAAACAGGGCCTGATGAAGTTCTCTCCAGAAAGAAAGGGGAAGGTGTACCCCTGCAAGTAATGCATCCTGCCCGAGAAAATCCCAACCACACAAGACTGATGTGGTCAAGGACAACGTCAAAGCCAACAATCAGACCATATTAGACCACAGGAAGGTCATGAGATCAGCCGAGAAATGATCATGAAACTGGTGGAAGGCTTGACACAAAAACTGTAAAGAAGAAACAACACATAAAAGGTTGGTCAAAATAAGGTGATTCCTAATAAACTGGGACCTATTAAAATGAACCAAAGCATCAGGATTATAACCCCACAAGGGAAGGAGAGGATCTAAATACTTAGAACCCAAATAGGGATTCAAGGCACACATTGGTAAGCAAAAGAGAATTGTTCCAAAGGATAAGGTGAATGAGACATGCCCACTCCTGACTGTACTTGATCAGCAAAATCTTGAGCATTAACAAAAATGTTGGGAGAAGGAGCAAAATAATAATAATCAGGACAAGGATCTTCTCCCAGCAAAAGAATCAAGGGAAGACATAAAATTTGACATACCTGTTCAATAAGTCTTAAGAAAGGAGTGGTTGTCAGACTTTCTTAACTGTTAGCATTATGTGACTGGCCAAAAAAAGCTAGGGCAAGAAAAATTGTCCTCACCCTGATGAAAAACTTCCTCAAAAGCATGGTCAAGGGGACGAAAGGAGAATAGGCAGAAGAAGCAGCAAAAGGGTCCAACTCCAACTGGATTAACTCATAAATCTCCATGGCCAACATCGGCAACTCGCTGCACGGGAGATTAGTAACATGAGTGTTGTCCATATTGGCAGGAACTTCTTCATCTGCCACATCAAATTTGAATTCATAAGTCCACATGGACTTTTGGAAAAAGAGCAAACAATAGTAAAGGAATTACTAAATGAATGAGTAATTCCAACTAAAATTGAAAGCTAGCAAGAAAACACACATGAACATAGCAGAATTCACTTGAAGGACAACTGAAAACACATATCTAAATACTGTAGTACCAACTGAGAAAGTGAGGATTGCACCATAATGGTACAGGGAGCAATGGGATTTGTGGAAGATGGTCACATGATAAGGACATGTTACTACAATGACAAAAAATGTAGGAGTATAAAAAAAAATTCAAAAAATTGCTATTCAAAAAATTTACCAATGCCTAGAGGGCAAATGAAGGTTGGGACATCTATGGGGGAAGGGAGGAGTACCATTTTGGAAACTGCATTTAAACAGTCTGGTATATAGCATCTCAGCATGAACAGTTGGAAGAGAAGAGCCAGTAAAAGCATTTCTCTCACATAAGTAAACAACAAATACACACAAACACAGAGTTTGTGTTTCATTGTAATAATAATAATAAAGATTGTATACTTTGTTTTACAGTTTGTGTCCAGTCTCATTATTTAACTGTATATTTTAAGAGGTGTAGTATTACTCCTGATATCATGATCGAATCTACTGTTATGTAGCAGACATACCTGGATATAGATATTCCACATATATACAGAGTAAAGTTCATTAAACTTTCTATTGTTTATACCTATTTATTTATATTAAAATTCAGCTTTAAAGGTATAACTAATTTTTTATCATTGTTGTTTATGTATTGTACAGAAAGGAATTGCCTTAAAGTAAAACTAGCTTTTATTTTTCTAAACATTGTGTTTAAAATTGATAATGCATAAACCATTTGGTATTCGATCTTTCTGAATTCCTAACCAATGTGAACAATCAAAGAAATTATGATAAAAAAAACAGAAAATATGCACTGCTCCTTAACCTGAGAATTACTGGTTGGGTCCATATGGATCACATCAGCTTTTAAATCACATGTGTATAAACTACTTATGCACAAAATTCCTAGTGAGCCTATGACTTTATTGGTTAAATTGTACTAAATAACAAATCAGTCACACACACAAATTGGTTTAACTCTTTCAGAATGGGCTCGGTTCCTGGGACCGACCTCTTAACCATTTTGTGCTTCTTATAGTTTTCATGCTATAACTTTTAAATTAGTAAGCGTATGTTCACCACATTTGGCAGATTATCAGTAAACATTACAATGCTTTCATGCACAAAATATAAATTTTTTATTAAGTCTTAAAATTTTTTAAACAATGTTTTTCTCATGCTTTTTTTTTACTTTTTGTATGTAGCCTATCCAACATGCAAGGTAATTTTCATTTTAATCAGAAAATTTTCAAATTTCACATGCAAAATATTTATAATGTCCAGATTGTTATCAAATGTTTCTTAGAAAAAACTTTATATTTTATCTTTTATTTTCACTAACGAATCTCTGTACAGGTTTGGTAGATTTGACTGACCTCATAACCAACATAAATAAATTAGGAAATAAATCTCTTTCATTCTAGAATGACAAATTATAACACGAAAACATAAATGTTTAGACTAAATAGCCTAAATCTCATAACATTATACATTTATATATATTTATTACTTTTATTATATTGACCTTTCAGTTATGCCTGGCTAACAATACAGAAGTTACAATAATGCAGCACACGTTACCATATC